ACCCCATTTTTCCATTGTCTTGCCCCGGAATCTTGGTGCAAGCCACCTTGACCCCATAGCTGTTGCATTATGCAGGCCTGCAGAATCAGCACCATAAGGACGATGCTGAATTCTCCTACCAACCTGGACCCTGGCTGTAGACGTCTATGAGTACCTGCACGTCTGACCTGGGAAGACACTTCCTGAGACAGCTTTTCCTTGCAGTGTGCTTCTGTGGCTTTCTTCCCAGGCAGTTTTTCACATACATTTGTATTTTCACATCTTGGAATCCGTAATGTGTGGTGTCTGGCCCTTGGGGCATTCCCCCTGCCGCCCTAGTGCAGTGTTCATAGGCTACTTTTCAACAGCTCTAATCTCTTTTACCTTATAGATGTTTTGTCTGCAGATGTTAAAGCACCTGTGCTCCCTTCTCCAACAAAACTGCACATTTTAAAATCTGTCCCCTCAACCTTTTGTTCCAATTCTCACAGAAATACTGTATAAAAGCAAGACACAATAACCATGACACAGTCTGAATGATATTCTATCTTAAAATGTCCTCCACCATTAATATTCTACTACTTTTGAATTTGGCCTCTCTCAAATCTTTGGGGAACTAACAAAATGTAGTCAGATTCTTCTCTAGACTGTATCATGAATAGGCTGTAGTCCAATTCCCAATAAGTTCATACTCCCATCTGTCTTAGGGTTGTTATTGCCATGAGGAGACACCATGACCACAGCAACTCTTATAAAGGAAAACATTTCATTGAGGTGACTCACCTACAATTTCAGAGATTCTGTTTATTATCATCATGGTGGGGAGCATGGGGGTGCAAGCAGATGTGATGTTGGAGACAGTTCAGAGTCCTGCAGGCAACAGGAAGTCAACTGAGACACGGGGTAGTATCTTGAGCACAGGAAACCCCAAAGCCCACCCCTACAGTGACATACTTCCTCCAACAAGGTCATACCCACTCTAACAAAACCACACCTCCTAACAGTGCCACTCCCTATGAGATTATGGGGGCCAATTACACTCAAACCACCACACCATTTGAACCTAATGAGCAGCCTTTACTGCCCACATTCCTGTTGGTCTTCTGGTCTTCTGATTTCTCACCAAGATGGATCATTAAGCAAAACTCACAGCATATTAGGACTCCTCTAGCCTAAAATTTCAAGTTCTCCCAGATGCCTCATGCAGATTAATTCCAAAGTCTTAAGAACCACATGGTAAGGTTTTGTCACAGAAATGAACCCACCATTCTGGTACCTTTTTTTTCTCCTGATTGGGTTAAATTTGCATTGCTTTGATCAGAATACCTAACAGAGACAACTTAAGGTAAGACTTTATTTTTGCTTGCTTATATTTTCAGATGGATTTCAGTCCATTAGGGTGGAGAAGGCATGTTTGACAGGAATAATTCTGTCCATGTCCTGTTGGTAAGATGGGAAGCTCTGTAAAAGCTTGTTTAGTTACAGTCTTTGGCAAGTTATGTGACCTCCTTTATTCTTTTCATCTGTAAAACCCAGATGATAGTATTATCAACACTTCAATACTTATTCCGTGAATAGAAATAATTCCATGCTCCCAAAGTCCTTAGAAAACTGCCTTATAATCAGGTTTATTTGCTATCCTTATTTCATTTAGGGCAAATCCATGAACAACAATATAAATTGGTGAGCCCCTCTCTCCTTAAAAACCAGGCTTGGTGGTGCATGCCTAATCCCAACAATTCAGAGGAAGAGAAAGGAGGACAGAACTTCAAGGTCATCCTCCACTACAGAGTGGTTTTGAAGCCAGGCTGAGCTATATTCTGCCTCCAAAACCAACCAGTGCCAGGTGGCGGTGGTAGCGCATGCCTTTAATCCTAGCGCTCAGGAAGCAGAGGCATGTGGATCTCTGTGAGTTCGAGGCCAGCCTAGTCTACAGAGCGAGTTCCAGGACAGGCTCCAAAAGCTACACAAAGAAACCCTGTCTCGGAAAGAAAAAAAAAAAAAACCCAACCAGCTAAAAAAAACAAACCTACACTCGACTCCCCAAATAAACAGAAGTCAACAAGAAGATGGCGTCATAATGGAGGTCAAGCCCAGCCTAGGCAACCTAGCAGACCTCACTAAATCTTAAAAAGTCAATAAGATAGGATATGGAAACACAGAAGACCTAGCAAAGTCAGAGGACAGAAAAATGGTGAGTCACATTGTGTTTGTTGAATAATAACAGTAGTGAACACATTTTTTTTTGTTTGTTTTGAAAGCACTTAACAAATTAAGTGTTGGGTAATGGTCAGTTAGCAACACAATATTTGTGGACTGACAATATTAGCAATGCCCTTGTTTCAGGAAGTAAAGTGTTCTGATTTACTCTGCTGGTGGTGAGACAGTGAACCAGCTCGAAATTGAACACAGACAATTGGAGTCCAAGGTAATGTGCTGAGCTACTACTACAGTTCAATCCAAATGTGCCTCCTGGCTCTTACAATTTTAGTACTAGAGTCTAACAAGAGAGGGTATCCTGTTTCATATAGCTTTACGTGTGCTGTCATCAAGATACCTATTGTGAGGGCTAATCTTTAAGGTCAACTTGGATTAAGAAGCACCAGTAGAACATTAGTAAAGCACCCATCTAGGTATGTGTTGATAAGGGTTTTTCTCAAGAAGATTGACCAAAGAGGTAAAACTTCCCTTGAATGGAGGGAGCACAGCCTGTATGCTGGGTCTTTAGATGGAAGAAGGAAAAAAGGAAGCTCACTAACCCAGGTATTCTCTGCTTCCTAGCTGCCATGATGTGAGCCATACCTCCCTGCCACGATGGACCAAAGCCTCTGAAATAAGGAAGCAAGAATGACTCTTTCCTCCCTTAATTTATTTCTCTCAGGATTTGTCACAGTGACTGACTAATTTGCGACTGTTTTGGAGTGGCCGCTATGCTAGGAATTATAATCGCGGATTTCCTAAAGTATGTGGAAGCTAATGTTCAGAGAGATTTAGAAACATACCCGCAGTTGTATATGCAGCAGAGGAGAGTTGAACACAGGTCTCTTTAGTCTTTTCTATTTCTACACTGATCTTTTAAATTTAGCGTATTATATATTTAGCCCTCCTTCCCTGTAGACTCCACATTCACGGATTCATTCAACCATGAACTACAAGTATTTATGTCTCTCTGTGTATATGTGTCTGTACCTTCGTCTACTGTTGTAGGGGTGAGATCCTTTCTGCACTGAACAGTACAGACTCCTTTTTCCTCATTATTTCCCAAACAAGTGTGGTGGACTGAATAATGTCTCCTGTAGTTTCAGGTGTTCGGGCCCTTGGTCCCCAGCTGAGGTGCAGCTTTGGGAATAGTACAGCTTTGCTGGCGGAAGTACATCACTAGGGGTGGGCTCTGAGAGTTTATATAGCCTCGTCCCACTTCCAGCTCACTCTTCCGGCTTCACGTTTGTGTTGAAGTCATCTCTCCACTTCCTGTTCCTGCTGCCTTGCCTGCCACTTGCTGTCATGTCTCCTGCCCATATGACGGTCTCAGCCCTCTGGAAGGTAAGCCAGAATAAACTCCTTCTACAAGTTTCTTCCATAAGTCATGGTGTTTTGTCACCGCAGCAGGAATGAAATATTAAACGAATGATTTAAAGGATACAGGAGAATGTGTGGAAGTATAAATTCAAACATGACAACATTTTATGCAGGAGCTTGATTATCTGGAGATTCTGGTATCCTTGAGTCTGGTGAGAGAAGCTGTTCTGGAACCAATCACTGTACTTATGGTATCCGTATACAGTATGCTTTACAGCTACTTACCAGGTTTGAAAAGTTTTAATTATGGAAGCATCATCAGTAACTGGAATGGTGTTTCTCAAACTTTAGTTACAAAGCAACATTATAGAATCCTGGGACTTGCTCAAAATGGATTAACTCACCTGGATAAGACTCAGATGCCACATCCTTTAAGGCTCTTTAGGTTCTGATGTGGGCTCTGATGTGGTTCATACTTTGAGGCTCAGTCTGAAGGATGCTAGGTCAATATTCTTGGCATTTAAGCTTTCTGGGTAAAGTTTTACTACAGTGGCATTTTCAGGGCCATAGAGTTTATCACATCTCAGTCCTTACCAGCTATCATTGCTTTAGCTGAGGGCAAGCACGTGGATAAGAACTTTGAACAGCATGTACTCTGCCTCCTGCTATGTCAAGCAATATTTTCTGCTATGGTCCCTTTCCACTGATGACCACGTAGCTCAGCAAGTCTACATGGTCAGATTTGTTTTTAGTGAGAAGTAAATAATTATGTAATAATTATGATATGAGAGAGCATAACTAAACCCTACTGCCCATCTCAATTTAGGCTCCCTCCTCTGTTGACAGAACCCCCTTTAAATGTAAGATAACATTCTGCTAGTGTATGGCCAATCTTTCAACAGTTAAGTCTATCACCGGTACATAATGCACCCTTCCCTTTGGAGAGGAATAAAATACAAATATCATGCTATGGGTAAAGGAAGGACTATTATTTCTTAGGGGAAGGGAAATCATGATCAAAATGTATTATATGAAAAATATGAAATAAAACTAATAATAATAATAATAATAATAAAAGAATTGGCTTGAAGTCTATTTTGTCATATGTTAGAATAGCAACACATGCCTCTGGAATTTTATCTATGTAATTTTTTTATCAGGGGTCATTAGTATGGGCTTTATAAATTTTGGAGGAGATGATTGTCTTTTTTTTTTTCATGTTACTGTGTCTTTACACTAGAATCTGCCCATCTGAGGTTAGATCATTAGTTAAGACTTGTTGGTTTTGTTCTTTTAATTCAGGTTGCCTCTTTTCTTTTGGTGGATTAATTTTCAGTGCTCAAGAGAGACCGGGGTGTAATATAGTTGTGATGATATTTCAGCCCCTTAGACTGGAGTTCCAGGTATCTGGCTTTATCTTCATTCTGCCCCTATGGGATGAGTAGTGTCTGCAGCAACCATCACAACCCAGTAGTTAACCCACTCTGATAATAGAGTAGCAGGGACTTCAAAGCAAACTCTTGGTAGGTACTGATTAGTTGGGGAGTAAAGGGACCCTAATGATACTGCATATAGTAATATGTTAGTATAAATGCAAAGGAAAAGCGAAGAAGAAGAGGTAAACAACCACCGTGAGACCAGTGATGAGTATTAGGTTATGTGGGAAGTAGAGGACAGGGACATACATAGGGGTGGAAATAATTGAGGCAAAGGAAGAATAGTGTGGCTATGTGGCATTTTGGTTAATAGCAGACTGTTAAGGAGGAGGTCAGCCTCTGGGAGGTCAGGCTTTGGGAGATGTAACAGTAAGAAGAATGAGTATGGGAAAGAAAGAGAAAGGAAGAAAATGGAAAAAGAAAAAGAGGAAGAAAGAAAAATAAGAAAATAAAAGAGAGAGAGTTGGAGACAGAGAAAGGGTGGGGGTGCTCACCAGAACAAGTGTGTGAAACAGCAGAAGGTGCAAACAGTAGGGACATGCTGTCTTGCTTCAGTGCCCTCCTTCATCATGTAGATAAGGACAGCTATAGGGGAGTGGGGAGAGCTGGAGACAATGGAATAAGGCAGGTAAGGATAGCTCTAGTGGCAGAGCTGCTTCACAGTTGAGAGCAGTGTTGCTCTTCCAGAGGCCTTGGGTTTGATTCCATAATCCAGATGGTGCTTCACAGCCTTCCAGATGCCCTCTTCTGACCTCCATGGGCACAAAGCATGCATACAGTAAACACACACACACACACACACACACACACACACACACACACACACACACATACACACAAACACACAAACACTCACACATAAAGTAAAATGAATATAAAACAAGATTACTAGCCTGAATGTTGATTTCCTCTCCTTGGCTGATCCACAGCTTTGCTGTCTTGGTCCAGGTCCAGGCTGTGCTCCTGCTGCATTTAAACACAGTCCCATTCTTCTCTTGTGGGCTCGCAGATCCAGTCAGCCATGTTTTCTTGACTGTTTTATGGCATGTTGACAGCTGAGGCTATCAACTGTCCAGACTCAGTTGCTGTGTCCCCACAGAGTCGGGAGCAGTTGGTGGCTATAGGGTACCCCAATCAGTGTTCAGACTTTTGCTTACCTCCCATGGCTTTGCCTTTCCCTGTTGGGGTTCTGATGGTGCCCTTGAAGGCAGTCACTGGGAGCCCCTTCTGTGAAATCCCTTAGGCCCTGCTTTTGTAGAGTTCTTGGTCAGAGTCCTTTAGCCCAGTTTGCCTGGAGGAAAATGCACCATGGCAGAAAAACAAGTCAGATCCTGTTGTAGATAAAGTTTATGGTCAGATAGCAGAAATGGTTGTTTGAGATGTTGAGCAAGTCAATTCCAGGTCTGAAGAAGCAGCTGATGGAATGATAAAATATTCCTGCTCCCCTTTTTTTCTAAATTGTAATCAGCTACTCCAGCTGATGTGGCTTCTATTCCACTCTCTTACCCTGAAGTTCTTATTTTACTTTTTGTTTATTAATATTTAGGGGCATGTATGTTTGAGCACCATGTGCTTATTTAGTGCCCATAGAGGCCAGAAGAGGGCACTGGATCCCCAGAACTAGAGTTACAGACCATTGTGAGCTGCTCTGTGGGTGCTGGGACCCAAACCTGGATTCTCTGCAAAAGTAGCAAGTGCTCTTTACCCCTGAACCATCTCTTCTGCTCCAGTGAGTGTTTTTTGTTTTGCTTTTTAAAATAAAACCTCATGGAGCTGGGGAGGTAAATGGCTCAGAACACAGAGCCTGATGGCCTGAGTTCTACGCAGAGACTCACTTGTTGGAAGGAGAGAACAGACTCTCATAAGTTGTCCTCTGACTACCCCACGAGCTCTTTGGTATTATTACACCAGGACACAAGAAGAGAAGGACCAAATCTACAAGCGTCTGGTTACAGCAAGCTTTAGTTTAGAGGTGTACCCGGGACTGGCCTGCTGGCTGTCTCATCCTAAGTCTGGATTTGAGAGATCAGCCCCTTACTGGTCTTTTTGGGTCCCTTTTATGAAGAAAATCTAAAGGTTAATAGAAAACAGTTGTAAGTGTGTTTCCAGGGTTGAGATAATTGGCTGTTAGAAAAAATACAATGAAAGGTAATAAAAGCAAAAATATACATCATGTGGAAGGGGAGTCATACATTATGGGGCAGGTGGTCAAGGTATAGATCAAGGTCTTGAAAACATATTTTTATAAGGCAACGGGCAATCATACATCATGGGGTCATGAGTTTGGTGCTGGTTGAAAAACATGTTTAGTAAACGGAAACTTATTCTTAATGAGAAATAGAAACCGATTCTTAGAAGGTATGGGGACTTAACAACAATGTGGCTCCTGTTCTGATTTCATAGTATGTGTGTGGTGTGCCCCCACAATAAATGAGTCAGTATAATAAATAAAACAATAACAAAAATACTTTTATAATAATTCAAGGGCTAAGAGTACAGTGCATGTTGAGCATGCACAAGTCACTGAATTTTACACCCAGCCCCTAAAAGAAAAAAAAAATCAATCACAAACATATCAGCTTTTTATAATCTTGCTTACAAGGAAAATGGTCAAAGTAATTCAAAAGAGTCCCCTTTGTATGGACATTTTAGGACAATGAATGTACTAGTCAATTACCCTGATCACACTAAGAAATAATTGATTGTAGGTAATATAAGCACTGACCGATTCATCTGCTTGTTGATGATGACTGACTTCCTAGAACAGGCTAGTACTTACCCAACATGGTTATTTTTCCACATGCTCTGGATTAGTTAGTATTAATCTTAGTGCCCCCTTGTCACTCAGCAGCATCCCAGACCAAGGCTGCAGTTGAGAAAAATGAGTCCCCAGAATGGGGCTGTCTAGGCAGTGGCTGGGGCAAGATAAGAATCAAGCCAGTGTTTCATGGATTCATGGTTGTTTTAGAACAGTGGTGAGTCTGTCCACAGGAATCCTAGTCTTTCTGCTCACGTGATTCCTAGCCTTGTAAATTTCCAGACAGTTACTTTATATAATTATATTTTTTGAACTCTGGTTTGTTTTGTGTGTGTGTGTGTGTGTGTGTGTGTCCATCCCCACTTCAGCCAGCCAGAGCTAGTGAGGGAGGAAATAGACTGGTATTTCCGTAAACATTTTCCCCCTCTTTGGATGGGGTTAGGCAATTACCTGCCAGATTTCATCATTACAGTGACTAAATCCAACAATTTACAGGAAGCTTATCTATCGCCCTTTCATTCTGGCTGCTTGTGATACTTCTCACTACAAGGTAAAATAGCTGGATTGAGCTGGCTCTGAAACCATTCACCTTCCCTCAGGCCAACACATCCTGCAAAACAGCCCACAACAGATGCTTTGACTGGAAGTCCAAGCTGGTATTGAGTTGACGACATTTATTAAGAAAAGGAGAGGGCCGGGCGGTGGTGGCGCACGCCTTTAATCCCAGCACTTGGGAGGCAGAGCCAGGCGGATCTCTGTGAGTTCGAGGCCAGCCTGGGCTACCAAGTGAGTTCCAGGAAAGGCACAAAGCTACACAGGGAAAACCTGTCTCGAAAAACAAAAAAAAACAAACAAACAAACAAAAAAAAAACAAAAACAAAACAAAACAAAAAAAAAACCTAAAGAAAGAAAAGAAGATGATGTTGTTTCTCCTTTGCTTTACAGTTAATATACACTTATGAGGTAGTAAATAACATGTTGACCCAGAGAAGCTAAGTAACAAAGAGGGCTGGCAGTGGGGGGGGGGGGTATTGCAAGAATCTCATTGTGAAGGGGAAATATAATGGATATTGCCAGTGGACTGGGGTGGATCTGGGAGGGGGAATGGGGATGGGAATAGCAGGGATCAAGTGGGGTGAAGATGGAGGAAGAGAGTACAGGGAGAGAAAACTGGAATCTAGGGACATCTCTGGGATGAGCTAGAAACCTAGAACAATGGAAACTCCCAGCAATCTATGAGGGTGACCCTAGCAAAGAAAGACTCACAGCAATCTGTAAGGACAACCCTAGCTAAGACTCCTAGCAACGGGGAATACGGAGTCTGAACAAGCCATCCCCTATAACCAGGCAAGGCTTCTAATACACCAACCCAGCCACAAACCCTTTGACCTACAATTTGTCCTACCCACAAATAAAGGGATAAAGTTGGTGTAGAAATCGTGGGAGTGACCAACTAATGACGGACCCATACCCTGAGAGGTCGCTCACCCCTGAGGGCCAGAACCCAGAGGCAGGATACCCCAGAGATCTAGGATAGAGCCAAACACAAATGGGGGAAAAAATCAATGAAATGACTTTTAGTGATATTCTGCTATACTTATAGATTGATGCCTAGGTCAACTGTTATCAGAGAGGCTTCACACAGCAACTGATGGAAACAGATACAGAGACCCACATCCAAACATTAGGCAGATCTCTGGGAATCCTGTGGAAGGGACGGGGAAGGATTGTAGAATCTAGTGGTGTCAAGGGCCCCACAAGAAAACCCAAAGAACTAACTAACCTGGGCTCATAGGAGCTCACAGAGACTGAACCAACAACCAGGGAGCCTGCATGGAACTGACCTAGGCCCTCTGCACATATGATACAGTTGTGCAACTTGGTCTTCATGTGAGACTCCTAACAGTGAGAGCAGGGGCTGTCTATGACTGTGTTGCCTGCTTTTGGGATCCATTCCTCCTACCAGACTGCTTCATTCAACCTTAATAGGAGAGGAGGTACCTAGTCTCACTGCAACTTGATATACCATGGCTGGCTGATATCCATGGGAGGCCCTGAACAAGGCAGGGAGGGGATATGGGGTATAGACTACTAGTAGTCAGCAAGCAAACAACAACAACAACAACAACCAATGAAAGAACTAACCAACAATAAAAAACCTAAGAGAGATGACATACAGATATGTTTAGGAAATGGAAGGATCTTTTCTGGAGTGTTTGCGAAGAAACATGGGCCTCTCTACACATCATATCTCTAGATTTGAAGCCAAACAAACCATGGTTTATTGTCTAAGCTTTCTCAACAAAAGGAGCTCTAAAAGGTATGCATGACTGTGCATGCTTGTAATCCCAGTGCTTAGGAAACTGAGGCAGGAAGATTGCCACAAGTTCCAGGTCAG